GTTACATAGATATGTTAAATAGCAGTGGCTATGCTCTGAGCCAAGGGAATGGAAGTAACTTCCCCACCAAGAAGTAACTGGGGGGCAGGTCTCCCGAGTTACAGCACCTGCATGAAAGTCTGCAGAAGACTGGCTCCATGAAATGGGGCTAGGCCTGCCCAGACTTATGATGGCAGCCCAGTAAAGCTGGGAGGATATAAGAGTGCTGGCAAGTGCAGCCCTGCGAGAGAGAATCACCATGCGGCTTTAGCAGAGAACCGCCACTCAGCTTTGGCAGTGATGACCCCCCCACTCCTGGCAGCCATTGAGGAGAGAGAACCACGGGGCTTTGGCAGAGTGGAGGCTCCCTCAGCCATTGTGCCAGGAGGACCATGTAGCTGGGGCAGTGGAGAGAGAACCTTGCAGCTTTGCCAGAGTGGGGACCCCTGCATCTTGAGTAGGGAGAACCATCACCTGGCTTTAGCAGAGATCTCCAAGACACAACTGATGGTGCTGGGAACTGAGGGAGGCCTACCAGCTGAAATAGATTACTGGGAAGAACCAGGAGCTGCCTGAGCCATGGACTTCTATTTCTTTTCCTGAGATACGGTACCCCAAACTGGGCAAAGGGGGGAAGGAAGCACTGTGTGTGTTTGTAAGTGTTTTAAGGGACTTTGGGATTTTGATGAAGACATTAGGTCACTACTTTAAGTCTGTAGAGCATTGAATAAACATTTCCTTTCCTTTTCATGAATCTCTGGCATTGAGAGACGTCTTTCCTCTGGCGGCAGACATAACGAACCTGGGGGTGTCCATTTCGGGTAATAGTATATCACCCTTTGGCTCCCCTTAGCACCCCCCACCACCTGGTTGTGCTCAGTAACATTTCTGCTTATTAGGTTTGGCATGTGAGAGGCTGCACCAACATGGTGTCTTTTCCAGTCTCAATAATATTTCAGATTGCTAGGAAAACCCAAGGAGGACAATGAGACTGTTCTGTTCTCTAGGGAGGTATTTTTTCTGGGATTCTGAAACACAGTATGGTAGTAAAACAATAGGAGATGCTTCTTGTGGTAATAATATGTCCATTTTAATCTATGGCCTTGGAAATTTTATCTCTGGACTTTGTCCTGTCTTAAACAGCAACATGGCAGGAGTGCAACTAGACTAGACTAAAGCCCAAGCAGAGATGGGTGTCAACCCAACAAGCACAAAGATAATAGCATTGAGCTAGAACATTATTCTCCTATAAGACACCTGAAATGTATTTAAAATCAGATTGCCTATGCTTGTAGCTACTATAAACAGAGATGACTCTAATGTGTGAACTAAAGAGAACTAAAAAGAAGGAAGAAAGTAGAAGGTTTAGCAAGTCTGATAATGTTCTGTTTCTTGTTCTGGATACTGATTACTAGGATACTTTTTAAAACAAGTTGTATATTTACCACTTAAGCATTTAGTGTGTGTACATACTGTGCCATGACTCACCTAAAGAGCAGCTACCATGAGAAAGATTCTCAATATTAATATTAAGTACCTGTTTGAATGTGGAATGTAGATAGCTCTTACTCACTGACAGAAGTTAGAATTGACTTTCAACTTTGGACAACTATATGGCAATTTTCTGTTGCAGCTGCCCCTAAAATCCCACCAGTAGTTTTCTACCCAATAGAAATGAGAAAGTATGTACATGCAGAAGTTGTACAAAAATGATCAATGTAGAATTATTGGGATTTGACAAAAATATTTAGTATGATTATTCATTGGAATACTTCACAGCAAAGAGAATTAATAAACTGTCCTCACATGCAATGACTTGAGGGAATCTCATGGCCATAGTTCTGAACAAAAGGATACAGACACAAGAGAATAAAAGCAGAATGATTGTAATTCTGTACCCTTTCTAAAAACATACTCAACTATTTACCATTTTGGCTTCCATTGTGTTAGGGTCCACAAACAGTCTCTCAACAGCTAGTTTTCTGATTTTTGTTCAGAGCTTGGATGCAGGAACATTTTACCTTTTGAAAATGTACAATTTTAATATATATATATATATATTTACAAAAGTTTTTCAAAAAGCAAAGACTATTTACTATCAGATTACAGATGATTGTGTGATTTCATTAATTTTTTAATCTCTAACAGTTTCTTATATACTCACATTTTCAAAATATTATTGTAGCTCTGGCTGGAGTAGCTCAGTGGATTGACCGCGGGCTGTGAACCAGGCATCGCAGGTTCGATTCCCAGTCGGGGTACATGCCTAGGTTGCAGGCCATGGCCCCCAGCAACCACACATTGATCTCTCTCTCTCTCTCTCTCTCTCTCTCTCTCTCTCTCTCTCTCTCTCTCTCTCTCTCTCTCTCTCTCTCTCTCTCCCCCCTTCCCTCTCTAAAAATAAATAAATAAAACCTTTAAAAATGTATTATTTTAAAGTTAACAAAGCATACAAATTCCATAAACTATTTCATTAAATGATTGTCTTTTGTCACCAGAAAGTGCTACCTCACTTATATATCAGAGGTATTTTTAGCAGCCTTCACTCACTACTTTCCTTCTTCCTGCACAAGGAAGCCTCACTGAACTGGTTTTCCTTGGAGGCATTGTCCTGTGCTGTACTTTGTGATAAGGATCCATGCCTCTTGGCCAAACAGCCATTATCTGGGAGAAGGAGATTATGAGTTGACTGTTCTCTATGCAACACTGTGTGGGGGGCACCTGTGATATCAGGAAAACCCTGTAGATATAGAATTTTTTTTTCATGTCTGCTCTGAATCTTAAATTGTGTTGTGAATCTTCCACCCTAAACACATACTTAAAGAAAGCCATTCTATTAGAGCATAAAGCCTTTGGGAATGATTTTAAATTATCTACTTTTTGACAATACATTGCTCTACATACTCTGGATGTCATGGAGAATGGGAGTTACACTACATGGGCTACCATGTTTATGAAGATGATCTTTGGATCCTGCTTAAAGGGAGTGTCACCTAAGGCAGCTGGCATCCCTGGACATAGGGAGCACCTGAGGGGAAAATGAGTGTGGGGAGGAATCTGAAGAAGATGACCAAGGAGGACTCTGCCTCCTCCACATATACACCAGAGAAATAACACAATAGTAGTAGAGTTCTTCACTCCCACAGGTACAGCCCTCTCTTGAGTTTAGCTGGTGGAAAAATACTTAGGTGTTTTTTTAACACTACTAGCATTTAAGTCTGTAGTTCTTTCTCAGTCACCTTGCCTGAAGAAAAATACCACATGATAAAACATATAATTAATTGTATCTGCCACATATTCCTGAGAGACCATATTCAATGCCCAGGGATCAGACACAGAGATGGTGATATAACCCAGCTCTGTCGGGAGGCAACTTTGAACCCTGCTGCAGACAGACTGGATGGAACACGGAAGTCAGTGCACCGGGATGGGACACGGACTCGCTGTTTGTCCGGTTTCTGTTTTAGATTTCTCTAATTTTTATCTACCTTGGACTGAATTGGTGCTATGAAACCTAAAGATGGTATGAAATACTATACCAAATTTTCAGTACTTTTAATAATCTAATTGTTTTAAAGACATATAAATAAATGGCAGGAATATAGTGAAATGCAAGCATGGATTGTGCAGGTGTAGGATTTTTTTTATTTTTGATCTCTTATCTGCAATTTGTATGTTTTAAAAGAAATACTTCCTTTTATTAAGCAAAGTATTTGTTAAAGATGTGTCTATAGGAACACATATTCAAATGAGTTTGTGCCAAGGGTTTGGAGAACTGCACATAGACACTACATCGTTAGTCAGATTTCTTTTTCTGTTCTTCTATCTTCCACTCTACTATCACTATATTCTCACAGAACAGAAGGGGTCACATATGACACACATAACATATTGATTGGGTAAACTATAACAGTGGGAAATAGAACTCAATTGACCTCCCACAGACCAATTCTTTTAAAGCAGAAAGAGGCAGATTTCAGAGCTACTTAAGAAAAATAGGGATCAAAGAAAACAAGAAGCAATATTTCAAATTTTAGGGAAATGGAAACACAATTCAACATGATTTCTCTTTGAATTTACTGGACTGTGGACAAATGAGGAGTTTTATCCTTTGACTGACACATGTGTTCTCTTGGTGAATACATGGTGTGGATTCTAGCTGATTAGAGGAAAGTGACTCACACAGAAATACATCAGCCCTTTCTTACCTCTCTGTCACCCTTGAGACCAGCATGCCTGGAGTCAGGTCCCAAACATTCTGCAGAAGCTCCACTGAACAGCCACTGTCAGAGGGAGCACAGTTAGCCCAGGCCTATTCCAGTCTATCACTCATGGGAAACCCCCAGCCTCTTCTCCAGCAACCAGCACCCTCCTGCTCCAGTGGGTCTTGAATCACAGACTATCTCTATCTCTATCCACTGAGATTAGAAAGGACAGGAGGGTTAATAGGGAATAGGAAAACAGGGGAATGTTATATCCAGAAACCCACCAAATCTCTGCCCATCCACAATTGTAACAATGAAGGAAAATCAAACAACATAGTTGTTATTTGTACCTCTCAACTAACTATGTTTCTCAATTACAGGATATAATACAGCCTCTGCAGTACTGAAAAACAGCAACAATCTTATCAGGAGGTGTGGGTAACTGAGCCAATTAATTTAAGAACTATTGCCTCAGCTATGAAAACATCAATTTCTCAATCACTAAGAAAGGAGTAACAAAAATTGCCATAAATACTACATAGGTTGGTATGGAAATAGCATGATTTAATATAAAAAAATGCAACACTCTTGGTAGAATGGTATGTAAATGTAAGAGATATTATCATTGACATTTATTGATTTCATTATACAGTGTGTATTTCCAAAGAGTCAGATTTCCTCATGGAGTTCTAGCATTGTTTACTACTTTTTCTAATTACTGAAAAATAGAAAGAATCAGGAATTTCACTAATAAGACAGATGATGTTAACACTGCACATCCATTTCCTTACAAACAGGGGTTTCCAGACCTTAATGATGGCCATTGAGAACTGCACTGTGTTTACAGACTTCATACTCTTAGGACTCTCTGGCAGGCGGGATGTGCAGCAGGGGCTCTTTGTGCTCTTCCTGCTGGTTTATGGCATCACTGTGATCGCCAACCTGGGGATGATCCTGCTGATCAACATGGAACCCCGGCTCCACACTCCCATGTATTATTTCCTGAGCAATCTGTCATTCAGTGATGTCTGCTACTCCTCCACTATCTCCCCAAAGATGCTGGCTGATTTCTTATCTCAGCAAAAGAAGATTGAATATAGTTTATGTGCTGTTCAGATATTCTTTTTTGGTACCTTTGCAGATGTGGAATGTGTCATGCTGTCTGTCATGGCATATGACCGTTATGTAGCCATTTGTAATCCACTTCTTTATACAACAGCCATGTCTGGAACAGTGTGTACCCAGCTGGTGGCCATTGTGTACATCCAAAGTCTGGTGTACTCTGCAATCGTCACTTATTGCACAATTCGATTGCCATTTTGCAATTCCAATATCATCAATCACTTTTTCTGTGATGTGCCACCCTTACTAGCCCTCTCTACCTCAGACACAACCATCACTGAGATAGTGATGTGCACTTCCAGTAGCTGTGTTCTGGGGTTCAGTATTATCACTGTCCTCCTCTCCTACAGCTACATCATAACCACCATACTTCGAATAAAGTCAGCCAAGGGCAGACACAAAGCCTTCTCTACCTGTGCCTCCCATTTAACTGCTGTGGCTATGTTTTATGGGACACTCCTGTTCATGTATTTCCGACCCAGCTCAAGTCACTCCATGGACACAGACAAAGTGGCCTCTGTTTTCTACACAGTTGTCATCCCCATGTTAAACCCACTGATCTACAGTTTGAGGAACAAGGATGTGAAAGATGCCCTGAAAAAAGCAGTGGGCACTAAATTATGTTCTGATGGAAGCCGTGTTTTCACCCAAAGTGTTTATTTGAAGATCCTGAGAGCTAAAGTTCAGGTATTTAATATACATTAGTATGGGTTCACAAGTGCCTGATGACAAGTATTTTTCATTGTTTATCATTGTGTCTAAATTAAACATAGAGACCAGTCATTAATGATCTTAATTGATTCATGTATTTGATATTCATTATTATTGACTAGTGCCCAATGATAAATATTTTCCTTTACTTTTCATTGTTCTAAATTAAACATAGGGAATAGTTACTATTGATCTTAATCTTCTCCCCAAGCTAAGGGAGACTAGTAATAGGTAAACTTCACTGTTTTTTAGAGAGGATTTTATCCCTGCCTTCTCTATTCACAGGTAAGTCCCAGTGAGACATCATGGGCTGAGCAACCCCTCTACCCATGTCAATTCAACTCACCCTCCCAAGGTTCCATTTATTTAAACAATGGGTGTAATAAACTTGCTCATTTAGGGGGAGTTCATGGGTTAAAATAGGTTTGTTTGTTTTATTCCTATGTAATTGTCTCACTCTATAAATATTGCATCATAACACTTACAAGTATAAGCAGTAAATAAATAAATAACAATTAAAAAAACCTTTGCCCTGAACTGAAAGTTTCATTCCTGCATGACCCTTTCCATTCTTGTTCACAAATATTTCTACCTGCCTACTGACAATGCCCTTTTTCCAGGATGTTTTTTGTTGAATCACTGAATGAGTGCCCTCTGCAAAACTGAAGCAATAAAGAGCCTTTGTAAATTTTTTTAAAAAACACTGAGCTCCCTTCATTTTATTTTATTCTATGCTATAATGTTCATCTTAGACAAAGATCATCAGTTCTCCTGGTCTTTTAGCCTAGGCTGAATAAGTTTCAGGGACAGAGATCACATACAGAGAACTTCCTGAATCCTCTATTTCTCATCGTTCTGCTACAAATTTATTAACAAATATCCAAAGGATCAGGAGCTGTAGATTCATACTGCACCTCAGAGTATTCACATCAGCCTATGGATTTCCCTTCTTGCCCTCACTGTGGAGAACAGACATGACCTTATTGATAAATGTACAGAAATGCATGAATGGAAGTTGGGCTTAAAAACACCAGGACCTCCTCAAGTTCACTGGAAAGGAAAACTCCATCTTGATGTGTGTATAGCTCCACACTAGTTAAAACAAAATTTAAAAAAATGAATTGCCCAATTGATACAGGTTAAATTGTAAAGTCATAGTTATAAACAAATATACGTGTTCAATGGAAAAAATAAGGAAAAATAGTAGTATTCCATTTGTAATGATTTACACTTGCTGTCTATATACCTGTGAAATAAACTGGAAGCATATTATAGACAACTTTAATAGTGGTCATTTCTGAGTATGTCATTGCTATTCTAATAGCTTAATTAAGTTAATTGTTTGTGTTGGTCTCCTGGCAGTCAATTGACAATTACCAGGTATGAAAAACAGAACACAATGTCAGATTCCAATGAGTGCTTATTTTATTTTATGTTGTTGTCAAGAAAGGAACAAGGAGACATTCTTTTCTGGGCCCAGAAGGACAGGGTACTGGGTGGTATAAGACTTTCCCTTTAGGTCCACATCCCTAGTGTGATCAGTGTATGAAAAGTGCTGAGTGTCTTGTGCTTCCAAGCACTGAAGCATTTATAAGAATTAAACAGTACATTAAAAGTGTGCATTCCTCAACAGGTAACTAGCCTTCAGTTACTGATTGAAGAAAGTTTTAAGACAAAAGTAATATTACTTTTACCTCTATTCTTTTATAATATCAAATAATTTTGTTGTTGTTCCTAGAATATTTAACACATCAGAACCACTAATCATTGTCCAAACCCCTTCCACTCTCAACTATTTTACTAAAAGCATACTAAATATATTCATATTTATAAAAATGAAATCTCTTCATGATGTATAAATTTGGATTGGATGGTCATGATTCACATATATGTTTAGGGGGAAAATATCCAATTTTTTTGTTACATTTTTATTTAGAGATACTGAAATAATGGCGTTTACATAAAATCAGCAAGCGGAATTTTTGTTCCCATTTGTGTCTTATTTTCATTTTAAGGCAATGATCAAATGGCAGACAGGTTAGGATAAGAACTGGACTTTGAAGTGAGACACACCTGAATTCAAATCTGTTCAAATCCTTTCCTGTCCCCAGTAAATTCAATAAAAAGAAAAAAAAGGAGAAAAAATCCTTTCCTCATTAACTGTGTAAGCTTAAAGCACTTAATTGTTTTAAGTCTCAGATTCCTCATCTTTTTATCACAGGCTTAATATATACATTACTAAAAGAAATATATATATAATCCGATATTTGTGATTCTTGAAGAGAGTTTCTAATATCATACAGAGCCAACCACCTGCTCATCAGGAGATAAAACCCTGGTGCTGAAAGAAGAGACTCTGTCCTTCCTGTACTCATGTCAGGAAGTGAAGTTTCCAGGATCCACCTTCATCTGCAGTAGAGCCTGCTCACCCCACAGTCACATTCCTGTGTGCATCCTAGCCACAGGGGGTGTGGGGCTTTCTGCCGTCCATCTCAGAACTTGTCTTTCCTGACCCTGCCTTCACTCTTAGAGCTGAGTAGAGGTTTTCTCATGGCCACCTATGCTGCCCACACCAATCCCATGTGCAGGCCAAATCCCAGGACCCACTCTATTAGTCTAACCCCAGACCCCACACTGCCAAGAAATGAGTTCAGATCATTAATCTTACAGTTCCTCATTTCATGGAATTCTGTTTGTCCCTGTCCAAAGGACTGTGTCTATACTGGCATAATTAGCTACAAAGGAACTAATATTTATCTGTTACAATGAACTCATGTACTCTGGACATTTTCTGCTCAGTATTTAGAAAAAACAAATTTGATTATCCTCGCTCATAGGTCACCATTCCATTCTTCTCTATTGAAACCCCACTTTGGCCAGAGCCCTACCTCACCACTGATCTGCATAGACAAGTCCCTTTTTGGGAAGATAGCTTCCCTTGCAATAAAGGGTACAGTAATCTACATTATAACCCAATATACATTTTCACTATCAGAAGGCTTCCCTCACTACTCCATCCATCTACTCAAACTCCCCTGAGGTGTACAAGGTCTGTGCAGAGGGTATCCAGCCATGGAATATGAAAAAGAGAGGCCTTTACTCCAGGAGACCCATGATACAAGAAACATTGGACAATAATAAGGACAAAGTATTTCAATCCCCTTCAAAGTATATACCTTGGGGCCTCCCAAAGTTCTCCCAATAGCCATCATCTGCTCTGTCATATTTTCCTGAATCTCTTTGAGGCTCTGAAATCTCTTCCATTTCAAAGGATTTTAGTTTTGGGAAAGTCCATAAATTTCAGGGTGCCAAATCTGGGCTGGCAGGGTCTTAGTCACCTGGGTGATCAGATGTTTAGTCAAAAAACCCTGCAGGAAACATGATGCAGTAGGGGGCACATTGTTGTGATGAAGCTGCCAATCACCATTGCTCACAGCTGCAGCCTTCTAAGTTATCCCAACACTTTCCAAAGGAATGTTCAACTTAACATAAAATTTGTTGCAGATTCTTTGCTCTAGTTGCTCAGTGATTTTGAATGCGATGGCACACAGCACACATACTCACTCAATGGCACCTACTGCCCCCACTGACCAGTGCAGGAAGTGGTCATTGTTCACACAGGTACATTTTAGTCCACTCTCCTTGACTGACAATTACATCAATGTTGCACAAACCATTTTCTTTATATTAACAATGGCTGGACTTTTTCCAGGCATGCCTCATATCCCTTCTTTCAACCTACAGTCCTAACTTCAGTAGGGTTCATTTCCCAGAAGACAACTACACTGTCATCCCACCATCCGTAGGTTTCTCTTCCCATCTCTGGCTCCTGAGTATAGTCCCCTTCAGTAATTTTGTGTAATCAATCAGTTTCATATGTCAAATCCTTAACTATGGTTCTTTCTTTCTGCTCAGGCATTAATATCTCCAAACAAAAGTATTGGGGACTGCCCTACCTGGTCTCAGGAAGCTATAAACCCCCGTGACTTACGCTGAGGAAAAGACCTCCGGACCAGGAGCCACTGAGACAAAACTTATTTCCCTGGCATGAACACTGCCTGTTCTAATGCCTGGCTTCCCTTTTACATGATCGGCAGCCAATGACAGGTAACAATTCTCTAAGAAAGAGAATGAATCTAAGACAGATGTGATCACATAGGAATGTCCTAAGGGAAGAGACTCGGGGCTGTAGATAAGAAGGGGTGATGGCCTCAACCCCTCCCCCCTTGGCTTTGTCAAAGCCTGAGTCCTTGTAGGAAATCCAAGTCTCCTGGCTGCCTTTGTCTTCTCTGTTAACTCAACCCTGCGGGAAATAGCAGGGGTGGTGCAGCCCAGACCAGAAACGGCAGAACCCCCGAGGTAATCAGGCCTGGGACATAGAATATGCAAGATCCTGTGAGATCTGTTTGCTGGAGGATGTTATTAGATTAGATTTTGAAGGCGCAGACTGGAAACCAAAACTGCCCTTTGAGCCCTGTTAGATAAAATCCCAATCTCTGCCCAGAATCACAGCAGGGGTTCTGTCTACACCTTTGAAAGTCACTTACTTCTTTTGATATTTTCTGCCAGACTGTGAATCCACAAACAAAGTCTTTTCTGAATAAAAATCTGCTTGGGAATGGAGACAAGGTGCTCTCCCCACCAGAGAGTGGCCATTCCGTTTTTACTTTCCCACAGAAATTGCTTGTCTCTGTGTATGTCTTTCTCATGCTTCCACGAGCCATCTGCAGCATTCCATGCTCACTGCGGGCTGGTGAGCATGCATCACAAAATCACTACCAAGGATGAAGTGTCTATGTATAATAACCTAAGCAAATAGCTCTCTGTGGTAAAAACCTTGCTAGCAAAATTTGTTAAATCAAAACTGATATAATTCTCATGATATCTATAAGCCCTTGGCACCATATGAAGAGGCAGCATACTCAACTGAGCTTGAAATCTTCTGTAGAAACACACTCTGAACTGTGGAGGCAATGAAAACAACATTCAATGCA